TATAATCCATATTAGAGTTTCATAAATGTGTAATGAACTTTCATATATGTCACTATGTTTTTTTTATGTAATCACAACTTTTTTGAGTTATATAAATATTATTAAACTTTTTTGCATTTTCATTTCTTGACATTTGAGAAAATAACATTCTGCTACACAGATTATTCATTCAACCAAAAAAATTTACAAATAAGTTGTTTACAAAACGCACTAACCAAACAGCTAAACAACTTATTCAAAACAAGGGCAGAATGGTCAATTTTACCGAATCAGTTGTTTTCCAAACGCACTAACCAGACAGTTAGACAGTGTATCCGGATCAGCTGGTCATCAGCAGATTATCAGGATAAGTTGTTTATCAGCAGAAGTTGGATAAGCTTTGGATAAGCTGCAGCTGCTGCCCCAAACAGACCCTTAACTGCTCTGAACTTGTATATGCAACATAGTTGGCAAGTATAATATTTTCCAAAGCCATAAAGCAAAAGTTTATTGAATTACACAAAGAACATCAAAAGCGGGAAGTTGATTAGGAAACCCTAAATCGATGAAATACTCACAAAAACGGAAACTAACAAGAACAAAATATGGATAAAAGAAAACAAAACAAAATATAGGAAATTTCCTGTTTAAATAGCCCCAAAAAGAATAAGAAGTTCCGTACTTGGTTTCTCTTGCAGGGCTGCTCCTGTGCCACTTGTCGGCGGCGACTGCTGCACCTCTCTTCCGCCGTCTTCCTCCAGAGCAAAGCAGAGTAAGTGCTGCTTCTTAGAGCTCCGAAAGGAGATGGAGTTACAGGGGATTGCCCCGCCGCCGCTCCGGCGAACTTCACATCGCCAAAAGATAAATTGCGGACGCCCTGAGCAGCTAGTGAGATGAGCGGAGGACAGCAAAGCCGAGCTTCCCATTTGCCCTACGCCTCTCTCTCTGTCGTGTCCTTCTGAACTGTGAGAAGCTTGTTTCTGACCTTACAAGAATACCAGATGAGATATCTCGTGAAAGAATCAAGCGAGCTTGCAAATTTGGAAAGTTCATGAAGGAGGGCTAATCGGCCCGATAAAATTAGGCCTGGAGGCCCACTGGGGCAAGCCCAACTGGTAAAAATTGTAGAACCAAGCCCATTCCTCTTAGCATCAAGCCTACCCGCCAAAATTGTCAAATCGAGATCTTGTTGAATTGGTCGAACTAAGTCCATCTACTAAAGTAGTCTAACTAGTTCGGGGCAAACTCATTATATTAAAAAATCATTATTATATAAAAATTAAACGTGTATGTCTATTCTCATTTTTGGCGCTACCTAACATTTCCATTACGATCTTTTCATTAATACATTATGGACAAATATGATATCATACGGGATGCAATTTTATAATTATTTTTATCCTGCTTCTTCTTATGTATAAAGGGAAGATCTCTATCGTGAGGGGCTCTCCCCTCCAAGTCATTCTCTAAGAAATTTGGAAAGGAAGCAAGAACACGAAGTCTAGCAATAAATCCACCATCCTCTTCTATACATTCATCCTAAAAATAAAATCTCTTCGGAGCTGAATGAGCTTAAGAAAAATGATAAGACCCTACGTCCTAACAAGGATTCAAAAGAACGCAAAAAAAAAAAAAACGTGGAACGTGGAATTGACATACATACCAATACCAACCAATTTCTATATATTTACATAACTAACACGTAAACTTTAATTTTCACATTTATATCACCCTATATAACTTGAGCAATACCACTTTTCAAGTTGGAATACACCTTTCATGCATAGATAAGGTAGTATGTATCTAAAAGTTGAAGTTTCGATGTTAAATATGTAAATACAAACGAATTGAGTGGTATGTATTTAAATTTTAAAAAAAAAAAGGAAGCTTTCCGTATAGAACACTCAATTCATTTGTATTTACATACCTATCACCTGAACTTCAATTTTTACATAAATGTTATATTATTTATGCATGAAAGTGCAGTTCATTTTTTTAAAGTTCAAATAGTGATATTTTTTATGTGATATAAAATATTTGAGTGCTATAAATATAGAAAGTAAAGTTTACATATTAGATATGAAAATACGTAGAAATTGGGTGGAATATATGTAACAACCTAAAAAAAATAAATTTATTTTTAGATAATGAAATGTAACTTTTTCATTTAAGTCTCTAAAAAATTTTCTAATAATTATAAGGCTTGAGATCAAAGTTTAATAAGAATATCCCATCTTTTATTTTTTAAATTTGAGAGATTATTAAATTAATGAACATGATGAATCATGATTTTCTTAATTAGATTTGGAGCTTTATTATGTAGTAATGCACAAAAATCTTTAAAATTGTGTTATCATAAACATGTTATTTATTATTTCACTGATGTAAGTATTTTTTATCTTAGTTAATAAATGTTAGAACTTGTTATTGAGAACTGGTGATCATATTTCTCTATTATTTTGGTCCTTATTTTCTAACAAAAGAAAATTCAATAACTCATCAGCATCAAAATCAACAAGAACAACTTTTATTGCAACTAATTACATGTAACATTTGTTATGAAAATTGTTAAAAAAATCAGTAGCATTGCTGACGTATAAAACGTGAATGATGTTTAAAAAAAAATCATATTTATGTTAGTTTGTATATGCATAAGGAATTGAATATATTAATGACATCTCACAATAGTGTTAACATATGTAGAAAGCAGAGTGCACAGATTAAAAATATGCATTATTTCATCTGAAAAGTATGTTAAATCAATATTAATAAGTTTAACACTATGAGTTGATATGCATTGGACAATATAGAAATAACTTTTTAAAGAAAAATAAATAATACAATTTTCTTAACATCTTACTAGTGTTAACATATCCAATCATTTGTAATATGTTTTACAATATGGGCTAAAATGCATTAGATGATATATAAGGAATTTATTTTTAAAATAGATTAGAACATTATTCCTTTTAACATGTTTGTAAATTTATTGAATTTTATTTCTAAGGTAAAAAAATATGAGAGATTTTATATTTAGTTGGGAGATTTTTCTTGACTTATAACTTATGCAAGAGCGTGTGTTTTCTAAAATTGGTATTGTTCTCTAATATAATTGGTATTTGGTAAATGATCTAGTATAATGGAGGGTGGCAATCAAGCTCTACAATTTTTTAGTATTATAGTAATAAATGTAACATAGAAATTGAGGAGCCACAACCAAGAAAAATAGAGCAGTCATACCTTTTATTGCAAGAAGCCCTTAATCCAAATGTGGTGTCTTTTTTTTCAAATTGTAGATAGGTTATAAGCCCCTGTACATTATAATGTCTAGGCAACAATACAGGACTTCCCCCAGTTTGAATGAGCCTGAATATGCTTATTCAAATAAAGTCTAAGAAGAAGCACCACAAGAGAAAGAGCATGGTGAATCAAGTCATTCCAAAGGTTCTGCACCCTTCATCTAGAAGCATGAAAAAAAACAAAATAAAGGTCGACACCCAACAATTATCTGAGCAAATTTCATTGTTTGTTATGACCTTTACCAGTATGACATCCAGTTAGACCTAAGTGTTGAGAGGGTCGGGCTTGGCATGGGCCAAGTTTATTCAAGCTTTGACTAGTCAAACAGGGTTCGGGTTGGATTTGAGCCCAGTTTCTAATAAAAACTCAAAAATATCTTGAAGTCAAGCCTTAAAAAATTAAAACTAACAATTTCTTTTTTTCTTCTTAAGCACATTACATATTTCTTAGAAGTTTGTTCAATATAAATTCAATATTAAACAATTAACAATTTCTTTTCTTCTTCTTAAAAAAGTACAAAAACTAACAAATTAAAAAAAAAAAACAGAGACAAATGTATTCCAAAAACAAAGACAATCTTAAACAAATTCAAACATACCACATAATTCTCATGAATTAACATATCTAACACCTAAACTTCCATGTTTACATATATAACATTCAAACCTTTAACATTACATTAGAGAAAAAAAAAACACCATCATTTACTTTTTAAAAGCTGCACATGCATCAACTTCCTCATTCCATCTCCTTCATCCAAGCTCCAAAAACAGACACAGCGGTCAGGAATCCATTCCCAGATAATTCTAACACAGTTGCGGAATCTGAAATCCCTCCTTCGTCCCCATTTGGCGGTTAGTGTGTAATATGGGATTTTTCCTGGGGACGGTAAGTCAAAATCAATCACATGCCTCTTGCAGATTTATAATATTGATGAGGGGCATTAACATAAATACCACACAATTCTTATATATTTACATATGTAGCTCCTAAACATTCATATTTACATACATAACACTCAAAAAAAAAAAAATAATGCATGAAAATGTGTATTTTACTTTTACTGAGGCAGAATTTAAAAGTATATTTTACTACATCAGCTAGAAAAACCATACTCTAACTACAAAGGATAAGTCTCTGAACAGAGAATTGTACATTAATAGCCTAACTGCACATATACTTAACTTTGAAGGTTTCAGAAGTGAGAATTTGTAATTCTGGCTTAGGTCTTCAAAAACTCAATTTGCTACATTAACGTTCGAACCAGTTTGGGGAGTGAGAGCTTCTCTCTTAATATTTACATACATGCCCCCAATTTATATGGATTTACATAACTAACATCAAACTCAAATTTAATAAAGCATATCACACAATCTCTAAAGAAAATAAATGAAAGTCGAAGAATAGGGAGTGATTCGAGTGAACCTTCGGTCTTTCGGGTCGGGGTATGGGGAGGAGAATAGAGACTCTAGTCTCTATTATCGCGATTCACGAGAAAACCCTAAGCGGGAAATCCTAATGGGGTTTTAGGTCCGCTGGCCGGGTTTGGCCATACAAGTCTTTGTCAAAACGGGCGTGGGCAGGGTTGGGCCCACAAATATTCTATTTTTCCAATGTAAAGCTCGCCCATTCTACGCGGGTGGCAAGCCCGTCGAGCCACTTGCCCAATTAGTTGCGAATATGGAAACTGGTCCACTACTCAAATTGTCATTTTCTCATGTTTGACAACAAATTGGATTTGATGCTCGAAGTTAATTGCTAAATTAATTGCTATTAATTCCTTGTATGATTTGCTGCAGAAGAGAAAAGGAAATAATTAATGGGTTTCATTAATTATTTGATTAATTCCTTAATGGGCCTAATGACATGATGAAATTAATAAATAGATATACAAGCTCTCATTGTAATCTCTTTCGAGATTTGGTTTCCTAGGTTTCTTCTTTGGTTCTTCTCCTCTTTGGTGTGGCTCTTGGTTTAGAGAGAGAAAGAGAGAGAAGGTGAAGGGAAAGGGAGAGGGAGAGGGAGAGGGAGAGGGAGAGGGAGATGTTTTCTTGTAATTTTCTTGTAATCGTCCAGGTGATCGACGGGTGTAATCCTCGAGTAATAAAATCCTTTGCAGCTCCATGGATGTAGGCAATTTGTCGAACCACGTAAATTTGCTGTTTTTTCTGTTTTGCGATTTTTCTCGATCCGATTTTTCACTTTATTACTGTCGTTTTTTCACAATACATCCTACACGGGCTTATGGCAAGCCCGTCGAGCCACTCGCCCAATGCCCAGGTCTACATGTAGTGCTTGCATGGTTATTTAAGGATACCCGACTATGAAAAAACTCATGAAGCTACTGGACTCCACTCCAGAGGCATTTGATGATATGTCCGTATATTTATTCACTATAAAACTTATAGAGTATCGAACAAAATATGAGACTATCATGCCGATGGTTTTAGAGTTGAGTATTGCTTGCCTTCGTTATTATTAAAAACTATCAGCTTAATTAGTTTTTAAAATTTTTTATTTGATACTAATGTATATTAATTTAAACTTGTATGTCACATATTGCCATGTTTTATGTTCATGTGACATTTGATCATGTGATGTGTATTTTCCAATAGTTTTTATTTCTTTTATGCTGATTTCATGGTCATCATGTGGTCTCAGAATTTTATTTGATGTCTGTTTTTCTTTGAGATTTGTTCAATTAGCCTAGGGCTGCTATAAGATAAGTCTTGTTTGTTGGCTAGGTAATTTATATTTGAACAATATCAAAACCCCATTAAAACCATTTTAAGAAAAATTCAATGCTTTATTGCATGCTTGAATGAAGTTTCACTCTATTCCTCTCATCCCTCCCTGCCCAATTTTCACTTCAATTCTTAACTTTTCATCTATTTTAAATCCTTCCTTAACACATTCCAAACCACCATATAATGTGAAAACAAAATCAATAGACAATAACTAAGCAAAAAACACATACAATTTAGATCATGCACTATTCTAAATTTATTACTTAATAAAAATAATTAATAATAAAATTAATTAATACAAATCATCTTCTCCTACTTAAGGTACTGCAACACCTCAACTAACACTGGCCTCAACCTCTTTACATCAACCTTCACCTTCTGCTTCTCAAGAAAATAATACCACAGCATATTGAAACCTTGCTTATGTATCTCACTTGGATTAGTAAACACCAAATGATCCATTGGATACTGTTCAATCAACGTACTCTCCTCCTTCTTAATCTCATACTCAAAATACTTCAACCCCATACCAATGGCCGGATCTCCATATGAAAATCTACAAGCCCACTTCAGATCTCCCCATGGTATAATCTGTATCATTGCTGCTCTTTGAGGAAGAAACACCATATTTGTTAAACCAGCTCCATGAATGCCAAGTAGAGCATCAGCAGAGTTTACAGTTGCAGAATAACTTGTAATGTTTTTTGTTTCCTCTGGCCCTGAAACTACCACCTTGAATCCTAAGCTTTTGGCCATGGAAATTACTTCTTTGCTGTTAACTAGCTCTCTTGATCCTTTCCTTAGTTGAATCAGAAGCTTTGGTTTCTTCTTTGAGTTCTTTGTGATGCTTCTCTTTTTCAGTGATAAAGATGATCTTATAAGCTCCCTGAAGGTTTCCATGGAGGAACCAAATGGTGGCTTGGTAGTGTCGATGCCTAGTTCCTTGTTATTAATTGTTCCTTCACGGGAAGCATCAAAATAATAAGAATTATGTAATAGATAATATCAAAATATGTTGTAGAATTGATGAAGTTATGCTTAGTATTATATGTGAATAGAATTTGAGCAAAGATTCTCAAGCTTGGATAAATAAAATAAAATAAAATAAATGTCTTGTTGTGAATTAAATCAAACATTTCTCATTCCATTTGAAAAATTATTGCATACATACAACACATGCATAAATGTATGCGGTGTCAGATCCTGACCGTAGATTACGGTAATCTACGATCATGATGTATTTCGGTGGGGCCTACTTTAAATTATATTTTTTTTCAAAAAAAATTTAATTGGTCGAACTAAGTCCAATTAAAGTTTAATATCCCATCTTTTATTTTTTAATCTAAGGCTTGAGATCAAAGTTTAATAAGAATATCCCATCTTTTATTTTTTAAATTTGAGAGATTATTAAATTAATGAACATGATGAATCATGATTTTCTTAATTAGATTTGGAGCTTTATTATGTAGTAATGCACAAAAATCTTAAAAATGTGTTATCATAAATATGTTATTAATTGGCTCACTGATGTAAGTATTTTTTATCTTAGTTAATAAATGTTAGAACTTGTTATTGAGAACTGGTGATCATATTTCTCTATTATTTTGGTCCTTATTTTCTAACAAAAGAAAATTCAATAACTCATCAGCATCAAAATCAACAAGAACAACTTTTATTGCAACTAATTACATGTAACATTTGTTATGAAAATTGTTAAAAAAATCAGTAGCATTGCTGACGTATAAAACGTGAATGATGTTTAAAAAAAAATCATATTTATGTTAGTTTGTATATGCATAAGGAATTGAATATATTAATGACATCTCACAATAGTGTTAACATATGTAGAAAGCAGAGTGCACAGATTAAAAATATGCATTATTTCATCTGAAAAGTATGTTAAATCAATATTAATAAGTTTAACACTATGAGTTGATATGCATTGGACAATATAGAAATAACTTTTTAAAGAAAAATAAATAATACAATTTTCTTAACATCTTACTAGTGTTAACATATCCAATCATTTGTAATATGTTTTACAATATGGGCTAAAATGCATTAGATGATATATAAGGAATTTATTTTTAAAATAGATTAGAACATTATTCCTTTTAACATGTTTGTAAATTTATTGAATTTTATTTCTAAGGTAAAAAAATATGAGAGATTTTATATTTAGTTGGGAGATTTTTCTTGACTTATAACTTATGCAAGAGCGTGTGTTTTCTAAAATTGGTATTGTTCTCTAATATAATTGGTATTTGGTAAATGATCTAGTATAATGGAGGGTGGCAATCAAGCTCTACAATTTTTTAGTATTATAGTAATAAATGTAACATAGAAATTGAGGAGCCACAACCAAGAAAAATAGAGCAGTCATACCTTTTATTGCAAGAAGCCCTTAATCCAAATGAAGTATCTTTTTTTTCAAATTATAGATAGGTTATAAGCCCCTTTATATTAATAATTGTGAAACCTGGACATTCATCAGTTACATCAACAATCAATAAAGATAAAATGTAATCTTTGTCATTAACTTTATAATGTGAAGTCCTTGCATGTATATATAACTCTTTTAAAGATTTAAAAAAATTATTTGATTGTTGTGAGTTCAAGAAAATAAATTGATTGAAGTATATCTTAGTAAAAATTTATGTGTTTTTTCTGTGTTGTATCCTTTTAATAGTTACTTTATAATATATCATATTTGCTCTTAAAGTTGATACTTTCATATTTATGTGCCTAATATTTACAATCATTTATATTAGTGTTATGCTATAAGGATTATTTTGCTCATAAAGTAGGATAGGAACGAGTAAGTGTCCAAAAAGGTTTGGTGAAAGCACTCCGGGTAAGCGTTTAGAACTTAATAATAATAAGTGAAAATATAAGAAAAAAATGAACGAAAGGGCTCTTTTTTTATTCAATTATTTAATTTTGGAGATCGAGAGTTTGATGGGAAAGGAATATTATTTAAGTTTTATGATTCAAGTTAAAAGTCTTTGAGTAAAATAAAAATTATTTCTAATAAATTCTTTTAGTAGTAAATATCATATTTCTCTACATGTAGGAAGTAAATTGAACAAGTCATCAAAATGAGTTCAATTCTATCCATTAAGATTTGAATGTTTTTAATGGCATAGATGATAGTTAGGATTAATTATTGTTATTATTGTGATGTTTTCCCTCACTGTGATGTTTACCCTCACTTATAAGCACTTTAAGGACATTGTGTTATTTTGTTGAGATTTGGTAACTATAGTGACTGAATGTTAATAATTTATTTACTACATATGAGGTAATAGTTAAAGCTAGCGCAAGATGATACAATATTTGAAGGTTTATTATATAACTTAGAGACCACATATATTATGACTATGGGTCTCACTTTAAATAAAACAAAAGTCAAAATTGTATAAAAAATTAGGTTCTTATGTTTTATTAAGGAAAAAAAACACATGGAGATAAATTATTTATATTTAAATAAAAAATGCCAAAAAGAAGGTCTCAACCATAACAAGAATATATTAACAAATAAAATCATGGATGTTTACTGGTATAATTTTAATAATGCTAAAATTGGGAACTCAACCTTGTTAAGTCACTTGTATTCTAATTTGGAGATATTTTCACTTATGATTCAAGTATGATAACTTTTTGAGTTTGAGAAATAGGGTTGTGTACAAGATTAAAGTTTCTAGTGCTCCGCAATTAAGGAGATACTGTGATATAACTATATTATCACATTAAGTTAGGTATGCTTCAAATTTGAGAAAGAATTGAATATGTTTAAGTGTTTGCAATGTTATAAGAGAAAAGTTCTATAATGATTCTATTAAATTAATTACCAATGAGGGAACCGTTATTTTATTGAAGATAAAAATGATGAATTTTATTTGTTGTAGCATGCAAAAAAGATTGGCAATGCTTTCAATTTAATAGCTTTTTTTAATCATTTCCATTTGTGAGAGTGAAAGTAAATTAGTTTAAATATAAGAAAAGTTTCAGAATGGAGCGTGTCACAATGGTTTGAGAAAGAGACTTATAAAATGAATAACAAATAATATTTTGGTTTTAGGTCGTACAATTACAACATTAAGAGTAATAATATAGCCACTTTAAAAATGCAAAAAAAATTAGCGAAGGGCGTGCCTTTGACATAAATTGATTCATCTTGACATACAAAAGGTGTGATAAGGAGATATTGTATGAGTTTTTTGGATTATGCCATATATAAATAATATGAATCTACTTAGCAGCTCTTTTAGGCTTTGAGAGTTTGAGGATGCCCATTGGGGTGCCATATAGTAATGTCTTTGATCATTAATCATATTATAAATTTATCCCTAAGGTTTAGAATATTACATAATCTATGAAAGATAAATTTTATTTCAAAAATACATCTCTTAAAATATACCATGTAATATTTCATTATAATTTTAATTTTTTTTATATAGATTTGATGTTTGGATTTGAGATAAGCTTTGATGGGTGTAAATTGGTGATTCTAGGGTGACAGACTAAAACCTTAACCAATTTGATTTAGGATTTTGGAACTTAAGGCTAGGTTAACCCCAACTAAGGGCTTACGTGGGTACTCTACGGGTGACAACCTAGAACCTACCAGCATAACCAAGGATTTAAGAATTTAACTCTAAGTTAGCCAATGTTATTTATGTACTCGAAAAATGGTAAAGAATAGGTATGCTCCTATTTTTCACAAAAAACTACATTTTAAATTTATAAATATTTAATTCCTACACTGATTATAATTCATTGCAAGGAGAATGATTTTTATACAATTTGAACTCTTCTACATAAATTTAGTTTAGAAGCATTTAACATTTTCTTTAAGTTTTGAAATAGAATTTGTAGATATTAGTTACCTCTTTATACAATGTCAACCTTAATTCTCGGATAAATTACCCACAGTTTAAATAGAGTTTTACTAAATCGATAAAAAGAGTTTTTCCTTCCCCATGGGCTCAATGCTTGGTGACTAAGAGAAAGTCCAATATTACTTGAAACGATACGTGCACTTGTGTAATTTCCCTAGTGTGTAAAATTAAATTGTGGAGAAAAATCAGAATTAATTGTTAAATATCACTCAATCGAGAATCAAGGGTGTAAGCACATATAGGCAGTGGGAGTCAAGTTTTTGGCACCGTTTCCCAGGATTGAAATTGAAGTAATTACACACTAAGCACACACTTTTTTTCTCGGGGATCAGGAAGCTCTCCTCACAAGAGAGAATGAGAAATTTACTAAAGTCTATCTTCCCCAAAGCAATGAAGATGTTTTTCTCGTCGGCCCGTCAAAATGTCATCAGAGACGAGATAAACAACCAGAAAAATGGAAGAAAAGGTGGAGAAAATGGCGAAGAACAACTTGGCTTGGCTTCTCCTTATGACCAAAGATGAATCCCTAAACAAATCTCCCTTGAAGCTCCTTGAAACCTCCCCTTGATCCAAGCTCTCCTCCTCAACAAATGGCAGCAGATCCATTCCAAAATGTCCTTTTTTGCTTTGGTTAAACGGTCATAGAAGATTACCCAAGGGGTGGCCCATTTCCTAATTTGTAATGGGCCCAAAATATCTCCCATACCATATTTAGGTGAAGAACCAAGCAAAAGGAGAAGGAGCAGCAGTCTCGGTCGCCTTACCTGCGGGAATTTGGGCATCAGAGGTCATTTTTTTGCAATATGGTCCAAACAGCGTGGCCACGCCACACTTAGGTGTGGTCACACCAATGTTTAAAGTGTCGTAGATGGAGGCCCGACATGACCACACCCGTGACCCGACGTAATTATGTTGAGCGCTCTATTTGGGTAGTGTGGTCACTATGCTCGACCAAACCGGGAGTCTGCTAAGATGTAGGCATGATCATGCCTATATTGCAGTGTAATTATGTCGTAACCTCAGTTTGGTTGGTGTGGGCACATCGGCTTCGAGCATGGTCATGCCAACCACAACCCATTTGGATTGTTTGGGGGTGGTTTTGGCATGGCCACACCCGATTTATGCGTGGACACGCCGGACCACTGAAACATTGGGCTTCCGGAGAAGCTTGCCAAGGGGGTTTTGGCTCTCGTGGGACCTCCAAAAGATCAAATGTGAGCAATTAATGATAATTGGACCTGCGTGGGGACCGTAAATTGTCTCAGAAGAGTTCTAGAGGCTGAACCATCTACGTATCATCGAGCAGAGCGGACCTAACATGAAATCCGCTAACATGAAATCCGTCTATCCAAGCCTTGGATTTAAGGTTCGAATACGGTGCGGGGGTACTCTGGTCGACGATATGTGCCACAGGAATGTCCATATGAGCAGGATACATACCTGTGTCACAGAAACGTCAATCTAAGGATGTCAAAGCAATGTCGCTTGGCCAAAATTGACTCGGGGCACGACTATGATAGTGTAAATCTCAATTACAATCTCGTGCACTCAACAGAGATGTTCTGTTTATGTCACATTAAAAGTAGATGCCAACACCCTTTTAAAATCCACACACCCATCATGCCATCATCAAACAAACAAAAACGCAAGAATTACATTATCACTCCATTCTTTCTAATTACATATCAAACATAAACTTTAAGTTCTACAAACATAACACTCTACTATACCATTTAACTTATGCATTAAAAGGTAAAATTTCACATTTAAAAAATTAAATTAATAATATTTTTGAGGTGATAATGAAAGATTTAGGTGGCCTAAATATAAAATGCAAACTTTAGCTGTTAGATGCATAAATACACCTACAAATTGGGAGGCATGTATGCAAATGCACCCCAAATTTTATTTTTTATTTTTTATTTTTTTAATGCCGAGATTGGTCAAATTATACCTCATGATTATTAATTCAAAGAATATAGAGTCCCTTATTAAACTCATCTTAAATATAAAAAATAATAAAAATTCTGGTTAATGCGCAGCATGATAAAGACCTGAGAACCATAAATTTCATTTAATATCATCAAATCATTGAAAAGCCGGCAAAGAGTCATTAGTCATAGAGTTCCCTAATTATATAATTACCGAATATTAATAATAAATAATCATTCGGTAATTACAATGTTAACATCCCTTAACTAAATTATTATTTTCAGCCGGCAATATATAGTTAGTGCTGAAAGCCAAAAGAAGGCTTCTTCAGCTCTTTGGGTGATGAAGAAATTACAGTCAAATATGTGGTTTTGCAGGCTTTGGCCAGCAATAGCTATGCTCTGCTTCCTGTTTCTTCCATCCATTTACTACATCAGTTTCCACTATCGATTCTCCTTCTGTAAGCATGTGTGATTAAGCTGTAATTAGTTTTCCCTTTTTTCTGTTAATTATGAGATTATTTATGTTTTTTAATTGAGTTTTTATGATAATTATTTTCTGTTCTTTATTGCTTTTTATTTGTTTATTTATTTAATTTTTTATTTTTTGGCAGTGAATTTTGAGTCATCTGTGCGGTTGAATTTTCAGAAGCAGGTGGTGAATGATGGAAGTGATGGAATTGCTGAAACTGGTTGGTTTTAGAGTCTGATTTTCTTATTTTATTTTATTTTATTATTATTTTGTGATTTTTATTGAAAATAGTTGATTTTCAATCGAATTTATATGCGAGTAATTATTATTTTTTGAAATATTTTGGGTGATATGAAATATTTGGGTGTTATAATGTAAAAAGATAAGTTTTGATATTAGATATGTAAATCCGTAGGAATTAGGTGCTCTCTCTCTCTCTCTCTCTCTCTCTCTCTCTCTTTCATGTTCTTAACTCTATTCCTTAGGTGTGTTCCACAACACAAATTCAGTCTCAAGGCTATTATATGAGCCTCAGCCTTCCTCAATGTGCCTAACAATTTGAGTATCACACCCACTACTAGAAGCGATTATTGCATGTGGTATACGATTAGAATCACTGAAATACATTTTTTTTGTTTTTTTTATTATTATAATAAGGCCCACTCTAATTTTTCCACGGTCATGATCAGACACTACACGCAAATTTTGCATGTGGTGTTCGCACGCAATAATTTTTCCTCCACTAGAGGGATCGAACCCCAGATTAGAGGGGACATCTATATATATATATATATATCTATATTGTTTTTTACATATCACTAATTCCTCTTTGTTTTTTCCTAGTAGGCATGGAAAAGGAAAGCCCGCATCTTCCACATACAACAACTAGGCATGAAGAAACAGATTCTTCAAGTTCACCCACCGGAGTGAATTTCATTAATAAAGGTAAATACATTATAAAATTCAGAAAATGTATAATGACATGCTGATCTAAATTATATTAAGATATAAAAATATTTCCTTTGAATCGCCTTATATTTTATGCAACTGTTTATCCTTAAGCAAAATAGCCTAAAAATGCAAGTAAGAACATGTGGCAGCTACCCTAATTAACATATTCTTAACCCTGCAATTAGCACCTTAAATACTCTTAAATAAGTAAGCTTACGTTCAAGGCTTTTAAGGTTATATTAATTTCATTGTGAGTTTTATTAATGAAGTTGTATATTTATATTTGTTGTGAAAAAGCGGCGACAACAAAGCAAAAAATGAAACGAGAAAAATTGCACACTGCGACACAAAGATTTACGTGGTTCGGCAAATTTGACTATGTCCACGGAGCTGCAGAGGATTTATTTCTTCAATGAATTACACCGTCAAGCGCCTCGATATTTACAAGAAAATTTCTATTTTCTTCTCTCCCTCCCTCTCTCTCTCTCTCTCTCTCTCTCTCTTACTCTCTTAGAGGACTTGGCTTGGCTTTACTTGTTTTTGGCTTCTAGCTTATGACAAGCCATAAGAGGATATTTATAGAAACTAGGAGAGCGGTAGGTGAGATGTGGTTGGTGAGCGTTAGGTGGGAAGGTAGGTGAGCGGTAGGTGAGATTCTTAATTATGAAGCTAATTAAATTACGATGAACCGGGTCTCCACATTACCCAACAATATTGTCTACCAATCTATATAATTAAATATTTAAATGAAGTGATTGGAAGTGTTTAATTAACATGGTACTAAATTCCATTTGTGTTGACTGAATTATAATAATTCCATTAGTTATGTAATTTATTAATTATATGATAAGGATTATGCCCCCACACTAATTAATTTATGTATTAGATGTGACTAGATAATTGTGAAGAAGAGAACGGCTACAACGACCATGTACTATGCTATTTTGGTGAAAAAAAGGCACTGGTTTGAAAGTACTACAAGCAATGATAAATCTTATTTTGCAAATAATAAAAAATAATCTTGGTTTCTTAAACCATGGTTAACCCTAACAATATTATTAAAATATCATCTATTAAAATCATAGTAGTATTTTTAATAAATATAATGAAAACTAGTATAATATTTTTTGCATGCTACGACAATTTTGGAGATATAACTTTTGCGTTAAATAAAAGGCAATTGGTAAGAGCGTTTAATGATGTCTAAACACGATGAAGTTGAGGATGATACAGTTCAGATTCATGATCTTATAAATGAAAAAAATTATTGTGGGCGGTCAGTATATGTGCCGATTTGATGGTATTCATGACAATACCATCAATCAGCCTGTGCGGGTTACACACGTAATATTCACATCATATAAATGTAGAGAATATTTACGGGTATCCAGGTGGCCAATAAGCCTCGTAATTGTAATGCACGAACATTACAATTTGCCTCATTTGCCACATATTGTTGGAGAATGATGGATAATATCCATACATATGTGATGAAATTATGTTTTATTTTAATTTGATATCCTTCCTTAATAAATATACAACCAACAAATAAAGGGATAACTAGTACTAAATAATGGATTGATTAGGTTTGACTTTGCATTATTTAAATTATTTGTGGCATGCAAAGTGGATACATCGATTGACCAAACCCCCCAAAACATATACATTCCAATTTCTCAAACATGCTCTCCACATTCGTAGCTGATTTTGTTCCATTTATATAAAATATTATATTAGGAAAAAAGCTCCCTACTTGCTACATTCTTGAAGTAAAAATAATTAAATTGAAGAGCTTAAATTTTTAATTATTGTAAACCCATAAAAAATCTATATCTATTGGGAAAAATATTACATCAGGACTCCTAACGTAGAGCTACGTTTGGCGTCCAATGAAATGACACCACGTGGATGGTGACATAAAAAAAAAAGATCGTTTTAGTGCAGGGGAATATCCCCCCTGTGGTGGTATTCATGTGTTACTGTGTTCAAGGAATATTCCATGTATTATAATAACACAATAACATATCAATACCACTATAATAACTTCTGAATAACACGGAATAACACAGAAGAAATATTTTTTTGTGTCACCGGGCCGGATCACAAGAAAGTGTGCGCGATTCTTTGAAGCCACGTGTCCGCATATTAGTGGACTACGAATGTAGCTCTACGTTAGGAGTCCTGATGTAATACTTTTCCATATCTATTACTTGGAAATTTTTTTTATTTCTTTCAATTTTCTTCTCCACATTAAAAAATATGAAGTTGAATTGTATTAAGTATGATAATTGTTAGCTTATTGTTGAAGAAAAAATAATGTTATTTACAATTTTCTTAATTTTATATTTATCATTAAAGTTTAAAAATTAATTTCATTTTCATCCATCTAACATTTTATTATTCAGAAGAGACTTTGCAGTGGCAGTCAACAAAAGCTGATGAGCAAGTTCAAGTAGAGGAATACCTTACCAACTCTACTGAAGCAGCAGGTTTATGATAATTTGCTCCCACCCATTCAACCCAAAAATCAATTCAATTTCAATTGACATTTCAACTCCAATGAAATATCATACATTCATGCATAAATAGGCCTAAATGTATACTTATTTCCTCATTGATGCAATTATATACGAGCACATAAATATATAATTTTAAATTTGTGGCATTTACATACATACCATACAATTCTTATAGATATACACATCGAACATCTATAATTTAAAATTTACATGCATGCCACTCATAACTTTAGCACCCACATATCAATTAATGGTCTGTTTGGGGCAGCTGCAACTTATTGAATAATCTACTGATAATATAGGTGCGGTGGCTATTGCAGATTTTTATCTTTTTTGAAATGTCAAACCGCAGCTAGAAAGCTCCAACCTCATCTAGATAGGTGCACTGTGAAAACGGTGTTTTCAGCATTTTGAAAATGCATAAGCTGCCAAAACGCAGTTTTCCCAAATAGGTGGGGTACGTTTTTAAAACGCCATCACACCAAATAAGCTGCCCCAAACGGATCCTAAATTTAGTATTGCTAACTTTATAAAAGTAAAATATATATTTCCATGCATAGATTTATAATGCAAATGTGTTATAAATATAAATATCATACAACCCTTAAGAATTATGTGGTATGTATGCAAACTTTCACTTAAAATTTTTTTGTCATATAACAACAATATAATTACAAAATGAAATGACCCAACTCTCCATTGAAATTACAGGCACAGTTTCTCCAAACACAACTTGCTTCTGCGACACATCTCATGACAGATTTGACACGTGTCATCTAACTGGCGACATCAGAATAATAAGCAACTCTTCAAAAATACTCATCTTTTCTTCATCTTCTGCAACACCAACAAATTCCACGTGGAAAATAAAACCCTATCCGAGAAAATGGGAAGCTCCTCTCATGGAAAGAATCACAGAACTCACCATCTCTTCAAACATACCAAATCCAGAAACGCCCACACCGCTCTGCACCCTCAACCACAGCACGCCAGGTGTCATCTTCTCTTCAGGAGGTTTCTCGGGCAACTTCTTCCATGACTTGAGCGACATACTGATCCCACTGTACGTTACTTCCCACCATTTTCATGGGGAAGTCAAGTTTCTCGTAAGTGACTTCAATTCAAAGTTCATTTCTAAGTATCAGCGGTTGCTCGCGAAGCTTTCAAGATATGAGCTCGTCGATCTTGGAAGTGACAACAATGTGCATTGTTTCCATGAAGTTCATGTAGGTGAGGGCTTACTGTTTTTTGCTAATTTGTTTATTAAGTTTAAATTAAATGAATTGATAATAATTCATTTAGAAAATATGTGTAGAGAATTTCTTATAATGGATTTTATGCCTCAATAAATCATTTTGCCGAACACCTTAAAAAATGAAAAAATTATTGCACATGCACCGATGCAGAGATGCATGCGGTGTCAGATCCTACGGTCAGAATGCAATTAATTTTTTTTTGATAAAAAAATATAATTTAAAGTAGGCCCCACCGAAATACATCATGATCGTAGATTACCGTAATCTACGGTCAGGATCTGACACCGCATACATTTATGCATGTGTTGTATGTATGCAATAATTTTTCAAATGGAATGAGAAATGTTTGATTTAATTCACAACAAGACATTTATTTTATTTTATTTTATTTATCCAAGCTTGAGAATCTTTGCTCAAATTCTATTCACATATAATACTAAGCATAACTTCATCAATTCTACAACATATTTTGATATTATCTATTACATAATTCTTATTATTTTGATGCTTCCCGTGAAGGAACAATTAATAACAAGGAACTAGGCATCGACACTACCAAGCCACCATTTGGTTCCTCCATGGAAACCTTCAGGGAGCTTATAAGATCATCTTTATCACTGAAAAAGAGAAGCATCACAAAGAACTCAAAGAAGAAACCAAAGCTTCTGATTCAACTAAGGAAAGGATCAAGAGAGCTAGTTAACAGCAAAGAAGTAATTTCCATGGCCAAAAGCTTAGGATTCAAGGTGGTAGTTTCAGGGCCAGAGGAAACAAAAAACATTACAAGTTATTCTGCAACAGTAAACTCTGCTGATGCTCTACTTGGCGTTCATGGAGCTGGTTTAACAAATATGGTGTTTCTTCCTCAAAGAGCAGCAATGATACAGATTATACCATGGGGAGATCTGAAGTGGGCTTGTAGATTTTCATATGGAGATCCGGCCATTGGTATGGGGTTGAAGTATTTTGAGTATGAGATTAAGAAGGAGGAGAGTACGTTGATTGAACAGTATCCAATGGATCATTTGGTGTTTACTAATCCAAGTGAGATACATAAGCAAGGTTTCAATATGCTGTGGTATTATTTTCTTGAGAAGCAGAAGGTGAAGGTTGATGTAAAGAGGTTGAGGCCAGTGTTAGTTGAGGTGTTGCAGTACCTTAAGTAGGAGAAGATGATTTGTATTAATTAATTTTATTATTAATTATTTTTATTTAGTAATAAAGTTAGAATAGTGCATGATTTATATTGTATGTCCATTATTGATTTTGTTTTCACATTATATGGTGGTTTGGAATGTGTTGAGGATGGATTTAAAATAGGTGAAATGTTAAGAATTGATGTGAAAATTGAGTAGGGAGGGATGAGAGAAATAGAGTGAAACTTCATTCAAGCATGCAATAGAGCATTGAATTTTTCGTAAAGTGGTTTTACGGGGTTTGGATATTGTTCAACTATAATTTACCTAGCCAACAAAAAAAACTTATATTATAGCAGCCCTAGTCTAATTGAACAAATCTCAAAGAAAAACTGACATCAAATAAAATTCCGAGACCACATGATGACCATAAAATCACCATAAAAGAAATAAAATATTTTGGAAATGTGTCAACAATACTGTAGTTCAGTCTCAATCAAATCAACATTCATAAATGAATATAGATTATGTAATTTACACTAAACTTCAAGAGAGGTACATGTACAACAAGAGATTACGATGCATATAAAATTGGACATAGAGATACTACTTTGTTTCTGTTATTATTATTCAAATAAATGAATCTCCAACATCCTTTTATTTTGAAATAAAAATAGCTCATTCTTCTTCTATGTTAAAATGAGTAATACCTCATCATTTGAACCAAAGATTCCTCTTTGCCTCACAAATCAAAACTGATCTTTTTCTTTTTAAGTCATAGTAATAAAGAGTGTGTTTAACATGGTTGCTGAAGTAGTCTGTTTACTGGGGAAACAACTTTACAGCTGCTGTAAGAAAGTTGTTGTTGAAACAACATTCAATTTGTATAGATAATATACTATCTTGCAACTATTTTTGATAAAAAAAAGTTTGTTATGCCCTCATAGATGTAAATTGACTAGCTAAATGATTGTAATTTTAAAAAAAATTATAGCAGAATAATAAAAATAGCTTATGCAGTACATAAAATACATTAGAAGTCCAATTTTTTCAATACATCAATCTTAAGTCATCACTTTGTTCATAATATCATAACAATAAAACTACAAAAACAACTATTAATGTTATAATAACATTCGTATTTATGTCTAGGTAATCAAGTCTTCGGAATAATTTTTTTCAATAACATTTCTCTTGACTTGGTCACTATCCAGAGTGAAATCTTCTGAATCACAAGTTCATTTAAAAACCAGTAATCTTCACATGCCCTGACAATAAAATCTCCATCCATAACTGCCTTCTCTTCTTCAAGTAAATTCAGAACATTGTGTATCACAATGACAGTACAGAGCTCTTGAAGTACTTGATAACCTTGAACTTATTTTTCTTGAAAGTATAAAACATTATGCATTTAATTAAAAAATGTTACTAAATATGCAATAGAACAATAACAAAAAATATTAAGGTTTATAATTAGAAAAAAAAACATAAAGGAAAAAATATGCATATCTAAAGTTATAATCTTGAAAATTAAAATTTCAAAACATAGAAGAGAAAATAGACATCAATCAATCCTCAATACATCTGAAATACTAAACATCACCAGTAGACACTACAAAATATTACTTAAATATACTCAATAATTTCACTAAAGCATATAAATTCTCTTTTATTAATTTGAACATCTCTTGAACATATTTCCAATCCAGTGTGTTGAATTCATTCGCTTAAACTTATTATTTCTCGAGTAATGATCGCCCTTCCCTATATTTCAATGCTTCAATAGGTATGCATGTTAGATCTTCTTCTAAGACCCTTAAATAAATATCATTTCGAGACAGATGCATCTATATAAAATTATGTAAATCTTCCATTGCAAAAAAATACCTTTATCTACATTTTGAAGAAATATGTCAGCATAACTTGGATTATGACTCATTTCTTCTTCCATATGTTGAGTGCTCTCTCGATAACACACTGCAATGAATCATGGGCGGAACCAATATCTTTTTATAGGGTGGCAACTGTGCCCCCCCCC